CAAAGTGAGGCTTTGAGGTTGAAGATCTCAGGCTGTTATGAGGGATGTTGCGCTCTAGGGGGCTTAGCATCCAGCTGTATTTACTGTATCACTAATAAGCAGAGATGTTGCCAACTTCACAGGCTTACTGACGCAGACACTTGTTAAAAAGCAATGGATCACAGGCCATTTAAAATCTGAACCATATCACAGCTGCCAAATAATGAGCATCTAGACTCCTTGAGCTCCCTCGAGACCCGAGTCTCAGAAAAAGGGACTCAAGTGTAACCTGAAACTAAAATGGAAATGGGTGAAGTTACAAAGTTGGGGAGATATGTAAATCCTTTGTTACACCTGGTAGCTCCAGGCAGATGTACAAAGGATGAAATACTAGCTGACTTTAGATCTCTCAGGTGTTCCCTTCAAACCCTGGACTAAATTTGTGAAGGACAGAGGGCAGCTTCTGATGCTTGACAGCATCAGTTAGTATAAAAACGTTTGCGTGATCAACTCATTGAGCCTCTTATATTATTGTAACTCACAGCTAACTCATGAATCTACACACCGGACGTGTAAGATTCATGAGAAAATTCATGGGTTCAAAATATTTTTCTGACTCACCTGTTGTTGATGCAGCTGTTTACACCCACTGAGTAAACGTTTCCAATTTTTCACATGCAAATAAACAGATGTGACCAATCAGATCACTGCAATCTGGCAGTGACTGGCAACAAGTGGACTCGTAGATCAAAGTGCGCACTGCTACTTATATAGACATAAAATAATACCGTTTTTCCTGTGACGCACAGCCAGGCGCTGCTCTCTGGTCAATCGGCTCTCTACCTGCTCTGGTGCTAACTCTGATAACAGCTCAAACTACCTCACTGACATTCTGATTTACGTCTCTTTCTAAACGCGCTCGGCGTGCAAAGGTCTTTGAAGCGGTGGCGGCAAACTTGTGCAACGTGAGCTTGTAATGCGCACATTAGGTACATTAGGAATCACTTTCGCTGTTTCTGTCAGTCTTGAAAAGAACAAGCAGAGATGTTCTTTCTTCTTTAAGCAAGAGGCTTTCGGGCCTGGTCTCATTGCATGACTTCAGTGAAACCCTGAGTTAAGTTAAGTAATGTGACAAAGAGGAACATTCGCCCCTCAGAGGTTGTTTCCTTTTAAGGGTCGGTGCAGTTTATTGTTCCAGTTTATTCAAGCATGCATAACCACAAATAGCATGAATAGTCCTCCACCCTTTACCACAGGCACTAGGACACAAGTTGATAGACATGTTAGAACAATAACCAGCTTATTACAGATAGCCATTCATGTTTGCTAGATTAACTCTTACACTTCACGCTGTGTGCATGCAGGAATTTGACTTTTTTCTCCAAGAAAATTTGTTTTTGTTTGAGATTTACTTTGGTAAGCTAATTAAACCAATGGAAACTTTAGATATTTTATTTTTTTATTAGTTTTAATTCTTTCTCTGAATTTTTATTTTTTTTGGCATGTAATGTGTCTTACTAGAGACGTGGGGATAAGGGAGGGGCTCGACATGCAACGCTTGTCCACACTTGTTCGATTTCAGCTCGGTACCAGAGCCATGATGTTAGTAAAGTACAAACTATGAAAACTGTAGCTGACGAGAACAATGGAGATACAGACTCACACTTTGTGTGCTTATTCTGACTACATCTGTCATTTCTTGGTGCAGAATAACAACTGAAGATGAACCAACTTTAGCTTCTGCCTGGACTCAGAAGTAATCTTGGACTGGACTTGAGTAATCACAAAACCAGATAGACATGCTTTTGTTACATACTAGCGTAGAACATAATCGTGTCATTTAAAAGAATGTTAATGATACACACCTGTGTTTGCACACTCCAGCTCGCAGATGCTAGACGTTGCATTTGTTCACCTGCTGATAGTCATGGTAGCAGACACTCTCTCCTCCTACCCACGCTCATATCCTGAGTGTAATTCATTTGCCATAAAGGGATAAAAAACATAATCAGCACACTTCACGAAGGGAATTCAAGATGCACGCACACGCACGCACACACATGCTAAACACACGAAACACAGGTGCATGCAATGAGCAACAGGTGGAAGCAATCAGGGAATCAGGGGCCAGACAGGAAGTAACAGTAACGGTAACCTCCAAAATAAAACAGGAAGTCAACAAAAGAGACTGATAGAATAACTTTGGAGACAAAGAGGAACAATTGGAAGCAATGGGGAGATTGCTGCTACTCCTTCTACTACTACCATAGCTGGACTGGCCATCGGGCATACCGGGCATTTGCCCGGTGGGCCGCTGGCGATTTTTTGTTTTTATGGGCCGATCGATTTTTTTTTTTTTTTTGGAAGGGTATAAATAATGAAAGGTGTTGGACTGGCCAATTGGTCATGATCGACTCTGGGCTGGACCAATTACAGCCGAGGAGGTCGGATGCACCTGCCCCCTTGTTTAGCAATCTTATAGACGAACTAAAGAAAATGGAGAACAAAAAAAAGGAAAGGAGGTGCAGAAAAAATTAGGGCCAAAAAGAAAAAAGCCCTTCAGGCAGACGCTGCCAAATGTGTAAAAATAACGGAATTGTTTGGTGGTAGCTATGGCATAGCTTCCACAGATTTAGCAACATCAGCAAATGGTGGAGGCCAGCAGGTGGATAAGGGAACGGGGAGGCAAGAGGAGGAGAGACCCGAGGCGGCCGCCGGCTATTGCAGTTAATAATACAACAGCTTCTTGCCATTTTTTGTCTTTCTTTTTATCGCTGTGTAACTGAGTTCAATTGAAAGCCTGCGTGCGCTAGTACCTCTTGCCACAAGTTCCCAGAATTCTTTGCGGTTTTACCCCTGAATGACGTCACATTTTTGGTGGGCCGGTCTCTAGTCAAAATGCCCGGGCCGATTTTTTGTCCCAGTCCGGCCCTGACTACTACTGATAGTAAACATTATAATAATAAAAGGCAGTAGAATTAGAAATTAAAAGAAAACAAGCCGGGGCGAAGGCAGGAATTCAAAAGAGAGTAGAAGTTGTTACGGCTGAAAATAGCCTCTACGGATTAAAAATGGGATATGCGTATGTGTGTGAAGGCAGGTGACACTGGGAAGTGTAGTGTATATGTGTTGGATTTGTTTGGAAAGGTGCAGGTTTAGTCTTTTTTCCTCATACATCCAGCTCTGCACTTAATGGTGCCTAAAGAGCCAAATATGGATTTGTCATAGCAGCAAAGCGGGCCTTTCAACTATCTAAACACATGTAATGGATAGTATTATACTGAACTAGGCCAGCATTTTAACCCGCTCATGACTGAAAACCACATGTTATTATTTTAAAAACAAATACTAAAACTGAGAGAAAAATTCCCTGTTTTCCACTTTTTCCATTATTTACACACAACCACCTCCTAGTTCAATAACACTGAACGAATATAAGAGCAGCACCGTTTGCGTTTAACTGAAGGGCAGCATTGCCCGAGGTGAGCTCCGAGTTACAACCTGCTGTTTCTCTGGCGCCCCCTTCAGGCCATACATCACATTGCCTGAGCAGCAGTCGGTGTGTGTGTCTCCTCACACTGTATCTGTGCAACAGGGTCTGGTGTGCCTCACGGGGTCCCTGCTATATGGACATACAGTTTTCTTGCAGTTCTGCAGAAAAAAAGGAGGGGGGGTGTCTTAAATACAGGCAGCGTTTACAGGCGAGCTCTGCGTGGATCACAGGTGAGGTCACAGCAATAACAGTCTTATGTGTTCCAGCCGCTGCACGGTCATATCTCATTTTTCATATCTCATGATGGGCGCCCCCTCCGTCCCGCTGATAAGCAGCATAACGGGGGGAGGAGCTCTCTCCTCCCGGGGCTCCTCCTTCCGCTCCCTTAGTTTTCTTCCACTTGCTCCCCCCAACGCCACCCACCCCCCCTACACACACACGCACGCACACTCATCTGCACCTCCTCCTGCTCTTCGCAGCTCCGATCGAGAGGAATAGAGGGCAGATTATGAGAATATACGTGAACGCCGAGGAGTAACGGGGGTTCTTCTCCTCCTGTGAGCGGAAAAGGCGTCACGGCGGGCGCGGAGGACGGAGGAGAGAGGGACGCATCGTGGACAGAGACCGAGGAGACGGAGGGAGGAGGCGACAGCGGCTCGTAAACACGACGGAAAACGGCGATCAGCGCGGCAGAAAGCGGCTATCACCCCCCTCTATCTCCCGCCTGGCACCACCAGCACCATCGACACTGGTGACACCCCCGAGCCCCTTCGCATCATTCCGTCTCCATCCTATTTTTGTACGTTATTGCTGTTTGGCTTTTGCTTTCCGTGCCTCTGCTGTGAGTATCTGCGGGGCGAACCGCTGCTCGTGTCTGTCGGAGGAGCAGCATCAGGGGCTGAGCTAGGAGAGGAGGCTGTGAGCCATCACCCATAGGATCCCCCCGCCCACCCCCCAGCGGGTCCAGCTTGGGACGATTATCTGCACATCCGATCCGGAGGATAAAGGAAAAAAACAAAAACAGCCAAGGCGAAATGACCGCACAGTAACCCGCCTTCAGCAGAGTGAGAGAGAGAGACCCCGGCCCCGGTTATCAGCCAGTCTCCAGCATCACCGATGCGATGGCATAGTGGCTTCTGCAGTGCAACCGACAGGCTCGACTCCGATCAGCAGGGCTCTCATCCACCATGACCCTCTGAAAGACATCCGGCACAGGCACAGATGGGTAAGAGATGCTCCACTCTTTTTTCCCCTGTTGTCTTTTCCCTTTATGTTGATTCCGGGATGTGGAGGTTGGGCGGGGAGTGTGCAGGGGTGGGGTGGGCAGGGGCGTTTTGTGACGTGTAGAAGACCCCTGCCATTGCACTGAGCCCAGGGTATAAGACTGCAATGTAAGAAGGTGTGTGCGTGCCCGAGTGAGGTTGTGGAAGTTGCTGAAAACAGAAGAAGACAGGAGCAGATGTGTAGACATGATTGTTCCTTACTGGGTTCATTGGAAATGTTTTTGTCCTGTGTATGTTAGACTTGATGTTCAAGCACCATGACAGACTAGTCTGTTGGCCATTCTGGGCACTGGAAGAGATGCAAAATATGTGCAGAGATGTATCAGCCTCAAAGAAGCAGCGATACAAGATGCTAAAGACTAAAGCTGAAGCTAATCGTGCTCATGTTTCACGTCACTCGTGGTTCTAAGGGGCTCAGTGGGTTGACGGTGCACTGGAACTTTAAGGTTTTGGCATTTTATTCTCATTGAGACATCTCCATTAGGTTCCCAACAGTACTCTTCTTTAGGCTGTCTAAATTGTGAGGTAAAGATCGGGCAGCATTACGGAAGGAACCAATTGGCAATCAGCTGGCAACAGCTGGGAGGAAGAACTCTTAACAGGAAGAACGAGAGCAGAGATAGGCTGCAAACTACAGGAAGGAATAGTCTAGTTCACAGCATGCAGTGGTAGGACATAAATGCATGCCAAGTGGGTAGACGCGCCTGTGTTTCAAACACCTGAAACGATGGAAGCCGTGAGTCTTGTCACTGCTGCTCACAGCACATGACCTTAGAGGTCTGAATCATCCTTTTCCAAGCAGCTGACTTCTGTGTGCGACAGCTGAGGCCTTCACTGAATAACTCTACTTTCCATGTCTCGTCAAAGTGAAACCAAAACCAGAACACAACCTCTGCTAGCTGAATTCTTTTCTAATTTCCCACAGGAGTGAGTCTGCTGCTCCCTGACTGGTGCTTTGGGATATCCAACCCTGCTGCGGTGGGGGTGCGAGTACTACGGGGTTGAATAAGCCGATCCACCATTGAGCAGGCTTTGCGTGAGCTTGATCGAAGGTTTTGACTATTAGAGTTCTGTGGAAAGAAAACAGTAAACCTCTTCCTGTTTCAATACGTCACCCGTTACTCTGGAGCATAACGATTAATCGACTGTAGCTCCGTTAGAGAGGCTCTGTGGTGCAACAATAGCAGACTGCACTACCTGGCAGATCCCAGGTGTGACTACACGAAGCGGTGCGTCAGTGATGAGCACGCTCAGTCTGTTCCCCGAGGATAAAGATGCTTCTTTTGGGCTTTTTTTTTAAACGATGTCTGTTTAGTAACGACACAAATTTGAGAAGTTCTACTATCTCACTATCCACAGTGAGATAGCGGGCTAACACTTCGACTTTCCCTGGCGGCTGTTTGGTACCAGATCAGTACCTGGCAGGGTGTAAAGAGAGCAGGCAGGAAATGAATTTGAGCTAGAGGGCAGCAGGAAGTTTCTCACCATGCTTACAGCTGAAGCAGAAGGATTTCTGCTGCTGCGGTTGTCTGCGGTTATCACGACGTGCGTTCAAATGGTCCACCGATGTCCTAACAAACATCCCCCAGCCCCACGTTTCAAACAGCAGCATCAACAAAGACCGTCTCTCACAGGAATGCTGGCCTTTTAACTTCACAGTTGATGCTGATGCTGAGAGACAGGGCCTCGTGCAAGAGTCTGTGAGGTGTGTGTGTGTGTGTGGTTACGGTGGCGGTGTTTGCAGGAGGAGGAGCAGAAACTGAAAGGGTTTGAAACACACTGCAGTCAGAATGAAGACGTGCAGCGAGCAAGACAGGGAGCGAACGGATGCACTGGATGACTAGTGAGGATGAGGGAATAGTACTCGGTAGGCCTGGGTGGAGAGAGGGGGGCCCTTAAAAACTGCCTGGACTCGGCAGATCCACCTGAGCCCCACAGCTGAAGCTCGCATCATTTGCCAGATTTGATTAAGAGCACACTCAAGAGATTTCTCCCGCTGTCGCTCATACTCTGTCAGTTTCTCTTCAGGTCTGCTATACTGGCACGTGTAAGAGAGAGGAAACCTCGGATAAGGGAGTCGAAAACGTGAAGCGTGCCGCGACCGTTACGGGAAAATCCTAATCTGCCAAATCTCACATTTTGTTTTTTTTAACCTGCAAAAGCAGGAAGCCCTGACTTCTGTCTAACTCCTGACAAAGAGACGAATAAGCGTTGAACTTGTCGTTTAAGGCCGCGAAACGCAGACCGACAGATGATTTGTCCTCTGTCTGTTTTTCCCAGCAGCAGCAGAAAACAAACTTCGCCGCTGGTCCCATCATCCGCCCGGTTTCTAATACGAGGAATGCTGAAGCTTTTTCAAACATGATCAAATTTTAGGTTACAGTACACACAAACCCTCTTCTCTGTAGTTCAATCAGCATGCATCCTTTCATCCTTTTCTCCTCTCATACAGTTTTTTCATTAATGCGTGCCCTCTATCTTCCCCCGCCACCCCCCCCACAGCCTGCGACTCAGGTTGCAAGGCCGAAACAAATGGCTTTGCTGGCACACAGAGAGGCTGTCAGTTAAAATTGCCAGGGGTGATCTGGGTTTACTCGCCCAGATCAGCAGCCTTTTTCCTGTTGCACTACATCCTGTTTTGCAGGCTCTCCCTTTTCTTTTCTTCTTTGTTCTTCCTTTTTTTTGTTAGGAAATCAGCTGTTAGTGCCAACTCGCCCAAGAGTCAAATGTCTTGTAATGATAATATTGCATTGCAAGATCAAGTTCGAGAAGGATTTTGATGCTCTCGAATCTCAGAAGGAAACGGCAGCCTCTCCGTTGCTTCTTGAGTCGAATGCGCTGAAATTTGTAATAGGAATTTTTTTTAAAAAAAGCGAGAATGTGTGCAGGAAACGGCCACAAACCAGTCTTGTTGTTATAAGCAGATGGAGGCGGACATCTGATATCCTGCAGTGTGCGAACGCCACTGAAGGACAGCAAAAGGGCAGTGAAGACAGATTTGCATGAACGAAGGAAAATCCCAAACAAAGCAAGAGCTGGCTGACTTTTGTTCACTAGGATTGGCTTTCTAGTATTGCAGTAGAGTGGATGTAAACACGGGTAGTGCAACAACCCACAAAACACACACAAAGGAATACCATTTTCAGAATTAGGGTGGAGCCACCTGCATGTGTTGCTTTAGCTCCTGCCAGTGGGTGTGCCCAACAGGTGTGATCATGTTAGTGGCAATCAGTCGCTCACCAACCCAAGCTAACAGAGCTTTGATTAGCACTCAGCATGAACCAGGCCAGCTGCCTGCTGCCAGCTCTGTTCATGCGCTAACTCGCCGCCACCATCGTCACTTCCTGATGCCCAACAGCTGGCTGCACATGCAGCTGCTTTGCCCTCTTGTTTTGTTTTTTTCACAGATTGCTTGAAAAGTTCCCCTTTTCTTGGGTTTCAGCCTAAGAAGTGAAAGCAGAAAGTGACAAATTCACAGTTCAGCGTGACCGTGTGTGAGGGCACAGAGCGGGTTGAGGTAAGAAGACTGAAAAATGTTTGTGTGAATCCCTCCTCAGGGCCCGTGCGGCCTGCAAGGTGGACCGGGGTCCAGAATGTTACGCCGTTTAAGCAGAGCTGTTTTCAAAGTGACCTGAAACGGGTCTTGACGGGATCTTTGAGAAACGCGTGCATGTGCAGTGAGGGATGAAGTGAGAAGTGTCAAAAGTGGTAACCAAAAAGTGTTGCAACTGAAACTAGTTCTGCTTCTGGAGCATGCAGTTTTAGCCCGTGCCACATTTTCTGCACGCTCCTGAAGTGGAACAGTTGTAACCCGGTTCAGCAGCTGCTGGATGAATGTAAATGGATCCGGGTCGCCATCACTCGTTTGGGGGAAGCAAGTTTCCGGAGCGGGTTTAAAATGGAGAACGATGTTGAAGGGAATGTAAAGGATGACTGCCTCCTGCTTAGAGTAACTCTAGCTCACCTCCACACTGAGGAGTGCTGCTGATGAAACTGGAGCTGAGGGAAGCCGAATTATGCTGGAGGCCACAATGGTCCCAGCAGTTACTGCTAACATGATCTTTACTCCGTTTGTTGTGAGTGCGTTGTCTTCAGTGCTGAGGCACAGGGCGAGCACTAAAGCAGTTAGAAGCCATTGTCTCCTCCAGCCGGGGGGGGTAAACGACTCGGCAACATGGCAGAAAAAGCTTCAAATAATCAGTGTAAATGTACCTGGATCATACAATATCTATGTTGCATCATTACCGTCATGGCTGTAATCTGTGCCGTGCACAAGCTGGGGTCGTCCCAGCTTCCAGGATGTGAAGATCGTACTGAGCTCACCCCACTAGCAGGTTACATGCACAGCTTGCCGCCGCTGCTGCTGGGGGAATTGAGCTGTGTTCCACCTCTGATCTGGCATCTGTAGACAAACGCACACACTCGCTCACTGGGCTGGGCCTGCTGGCTGTGCTCCCACTATTCCTGGAGAGAGTCGGTCTGACAAACACATACATCTCTTTCCTTGTTTGACATCTTATTTCAAGCCGTGTGCATACAGACCCTGCCCTAGAAAAGACTGAGCGTTGCGTGAAACGTGGATAAAAAAGGAGAGCGCTGATTTGGAAACCCTCTCATGTGTTTATCCAGTGTAATCTAATCCAGATCTCCTGCACATACCTGCATCATGATCAGCCCCTTCTGCCCACATGTGCTGCAGGATCAAGTGTTGTGTTTAAAGACAGCACTCGGGAAGGGGTAGTCGGGGGAAGTGGGAAGGTGCACCCCCACACCTCGCCTTAGGCTTGAGTGTTCCCAGTCCTCATTAGACGGTCGGGGAGTGTTTGATGCCTGGATGAACGAACAGCTACAGAGTTTTCCCGCCACTTACCCGCTGTCACGCGACGAGCTGCGCTGATAAAAATAACATCTCGCAGCTCAGCAGGTGAAAGGTGGCGCTCTG